ATGTGACTTTGATACTCTTGTAGGTATCTAAATATGACTTTGATAAAACTGGAGGTATCTAAATGTGACTTTGATACTCTTGTAGGTATCTAAATATGACTTTGATAAAACTGGAGGTATCTAAATGTGACTTTGATACTCTTGTAGGTATCTAAATATGACTTTGATAAAACTGGAGGTATCTAAATGTGACTTTGATACTCTTGTAGGTATCTAAATATGACTTTGATAAAACTGGAGGTATCTAAATGTGACTTTGATACTCTTGTAGGTATCTAAATGTGACTTTGATAAAACTGGAGGTATCTAAATGTAACTTTGATACTATTGTAGGTATCTGAATGTGTTTTTGATACTAGTGTAGGTATCTAAATGTGACTTTGATACCCTTGTAGGTATCTAAATATGACTTTGATAAAACTGGAGGTATCTAAATGTGACTTTGATACTCTTGTAGGTATCTAAATGTGACTTTGATAAAACTGGAGGTATCTAAATGTGACTTTGATAAAACCTGAGGTACCTAAATGTGACTTTGATAAAACTGGAGCTATCTAAATGTAACTTTGATACTATTATAGGTATCTGAATGTGTTTTTGATACTAGTGTAGGTATCTAAATATGACTTTGATACCCTTGTAGGTATCTAAATGTGACTTTGATAAAACTGGAGGTATATAAATGTGACTTTGATACTCTTGTAGGTATCTAAATGTGACTTTGATAAAACTGGAGGTATCTATATGTGACTTTGATAAAACTTGAGGTATCTAAATGTGACTTTGATACAGGTGTAGGTATCTAAATGTGACTGTGATACTACTGGCGGTATCTAAATGTGACTTTGATACCATTGTAGGTATCTTAATGTGTTTTGATACTACTGGAGGAATCTAAATGTAACTTTGATACTATTGTAGGTATCTGAATGTGTTTTTGATACTAGTGTAGGTATCTAAATATGACTTTGATGCCCTTGTAGGTATCTAAATGTGTCTTTGATAAAACTGGAGGTATCTAAATGTAACTTTGATACTATTGTAGGTATCTGAATGTGTTTTTGATACTAGTGTAGGTATCTAAATATGACTTTGATGCCCTTGTAGGTATCTAAATGTGTCTTTGATAAAACTGGAGGTATCTAAATGTAACTTTGATACTATTGTAGGTATCTGAATGTGTTTTGATACTAGTGTAGGTATCTAAATGTGACTTTGATACCATTGTAGGTATCCAAATGTGATTTTGATACTACTGGAGGTCTCTAAATGTGACTTTGATACCATTGTAGGTATCTAAATGTGTTTTGATACTACTGGAGGAATCTAAATGTGACTTTTATACCATTGTAGGTATCTAAATGTGTTTTGATACTACTGGAGGAATCTAAATGTAACTTTGATACTATTGTAGGAATCTGAATGTGTTTTTGATACTAGTGTAGGTATCTAAATGTGACTTTGATACTCTTTTGGGTATCTAAATATGACTTTGATAAAACTGGAGGTATCTAAATGTGACTTTGATACTCTTGTAGGTATCTAAATGTGACTTTGATAAAACTGGAGGTATCTAAATGTGTCTTTGATAAAACTGGAGGTATCTAAATGTGCCTTTGATACTAATGGAGGTATCTAAATGTGACTTTGATACTATTGTATGTACATATCAAAATGTGCCTTTGACTTTGATACTACTGGAGGTATCTAAATGTGATTTTGATACTACTGGAGGTATCTAAATGTGCCTTTGATACAACTTGAGGTATCTAAATGTGACTTTGATACTATTGTAGGTATCTAAATGTGATTATAATAATTTTGAGGTATCTAAATGTGCCTTTGATACAATTTGAGGTATCTAAATGTGCCTTTGATATATCTTGAGGTATCTAAATGTGACTTTGATACTATTGTAGGTATCTAAATGTGACTTTGATACTGTTGTAGGTATCTAAATGTGACTTTGATACAATTTGAGGTATCTAAATGTGCCTTTGATACAATTTGAGGTATCTAAATGTGCCTTTGATACAAATTGAGTTATCTAAATGTGCCTTTGATACAACTTGAGGTATCTAAATGTGACTTTGATACTCTTGTAGGTATCTAAACGTGACTTTGATACAAATTGAGTTATCTAAATGTGACTTTGATACAAATTGGGTTATCTAAATGTGACTTTGATACTATTGTAGGTATCTAAATGTGCCTTTAATACAAATTGAGTTATCTAAATGTGACTTTGATACTCTTGTAGGTATCTAAATGTGCCTTTGATACAAATTGAGTTATCTAAATGTGCCTTTGATACAAATTGAGTTATTTAAATGTGACTTTGATATTAGTGTAGGTATCTAAATGTGTTTTTGATACTACTGGAGGTATCTAAATGTGACTTTGATACTATTGTAGGTATCTAAATGTGCCTTTAATACAAATTGAGTTATCTAAATGTGCCTTTGATACAAATTGAGTTATCTAAATGTGACTTTGATACAAATTGGGTTATCTAAATGTGACTTTGATACTATTGTAGGTATCTAAATGTGCCTTTAATATTACATGAGGTATCTAAATGTGTTTTTGATACTACTGGAGGTATCTAATTGTTACTTTGATATTTATGGAGGTATCTAAATGTGAATTTGATACATTTTCGACTTGAGGTATCTAAATGTAACTTTGATACATTTTGAGGTATCTAAAATAAAATGTAACTTTGATACCACTGGGGTATCTAAATGTGACTTTAATCTTTTGAGGTATCTCAACTCTGAGAGTACTTAGGTCGGATTGGACTGCATGATATCAAGTTTAGATGCGGGACCGAATTTATTTGAACACCTTTGCAAAATCGGGGGGCGGGAAACGATACAAGCATGTGGTCAACATGTCGCTGGAGCAACACATCCCTTAGGGTCAGCATGATAATGATGATGATGATGATGATGATGAAGCTAGGTACTATGCTTATGTATGTCAATATCCATGATTTTATAACACTTTTATAACATATATAATGTCTATTCAATTATTTTGCCGAGCAAAATTTAAAATTAAATAATCTTGTCATGTTGTCATCTAATGATCCTTTATTTTAAAATCCTGGACCATGTAAGTTCTAAAAAAAAATAATGTGATTTGAATTGATCCCTTTATTACTTAACTTCAGAACCTTATAAAACTGTGTTCTATTTTTATATTAGGCCATGACGTTGTCAGACTTTTAAATGAATCACTTGCAGTGTAGTTTCGGTACCTATGTTTACTTTAGTCAACTTTATCTTGATAAGTCTCATCGGCTCCCCTGATACCAGAATCTAGTTCCCCGGAGAAACATACATACCACACGTAATCTGGCAGTACAGAATTCTTGTCAGTAATGAAGGAATTATGCTAGACTTGACATTATCCAAGGTAAACATTTCCACGGGCCAAAGAACCATGGGTTCATGTACGGAGAAGGAAACACAGACGGACAGAATAAAGCACATGAAAGACAATGGAAAAGTATCGAAAGAAAGGCAAGAGAAACTTAAGACGTTTACCACGTATGTAAGTACAGCTACATTTGTAGCATCGATATGTTACACGCCGTATTCATGTACTGGGTGTACGAAAGTTTTTTTTATGTAAACATATTTTATTTGCAAAAATACAAAAGAGATTATAGACACAAGTTATAAAACTTCAAGTTCGTCATCTCCCTTAAAACAATAATGGTGATATATACATATGGCTGCAAAGTAGAAAAGATTGATGACTGCAAATTTAGATGATTCAAAAGGAGACAAGAATAAGATAAAATGTACAATACATAAATCTTATAGATTATTTTTTGTATTACCTGCATTTAATTAGATGTACGTTGTAACATTACCATAAACAATCTACAGTTTATATTTTCGTATTGAAACTTCTGTAGCAGCATGTTTCAATGTACAATTCGATTTCATTCTCTAAAAATTGTGACGTCCATGTCTATATTTTGCAAGTTTAAAGAATTTCGCCGTCGAATTTCTTGTTAAAATGGCTCAATATGACTAATCTCGCATTAACTGGCTGAGTTCAATAAGGTCATTTTATTGTTTGTTTATCAAGTCCGTAGTCAGCACAAAATTGTATTGTCAGGCCTGATTCTTATAAACAATTCTAAAGCATAGTTAGTTTCACATTTTCTGGGTTCATTTTTTTCAAATTTAGTACTATTGTCTCTACGTATAAAATCACTTTTTTTTTTCTATCTTATCGCTTATTCCTTGTTTATTGTCTTTCCGGTAGTGAATAATTTGAATTCGGCATTACCCGCAAAATAAAATAAATGTGTAAATGGCTGGTCCGTAGACGGGTTACGGGACATCAAGCTCGGTCTCATCATACCGTAATACGGTCAGACTTAAACAAACAGTCTTTATATATTATTATTATACCTTCTGTTAAAATCTCGTAATCTGATTGGTGGGGAAAGATGTGAACATTTTCAATGTTACTTGCTCGTTTTACAAAGATAAAGAAGACAGGGTGACATTCCAAAAAATATCACATGCGCCAAACGTATGCGTGCACGGTTCGTCCCAGTGCCAGGGTGTTATCAAATCACATTCATGGTTGGTTGATTCGACAACTGTTGAGATGAAGTCTTGGTTTATGTCAAATCAACACAAGGACCTTTCAAAATAGTGAAGTGGTGAAACACCTAAACATGACACTCGGTATAATAAAATAAAAATCACATTCATGAGAGGGTGATATTGCATATTTTTACCCCTCGGAAAGCATTGTTGACCTCGGCTTCGCCTCGGTTAACAATGCTTCCTTGGGGTGAAAGTATACAATATCGCCCTCTCATGATTGTGATATTTATATAGTATCACCTGTCGCGGTCAGTCCGCGAACACTGACATCTGTTAGGCTGATTACTTAGAGAGCAGATGCACTGTTGCTCAGGTGATGCGAAATATAAATACATGTACACATATATATATAGGAAACTTCACCAATACACGGACGGTGTATCAGGCTGCGGGATTTTGTTCACGGTAGAACGGCATCGTCAACGTTATGCGGGACAATATTAAGCATGTTTTGTTATGCATTTACTGTATATACCCATGTTCGGGATTCTTCTTTTTCTCGTCGCCTTCTGAAGGATCATCACAGGTATGTTTACCTGTTTACTATCATTGAACAGCGTTGTGCGTAGTCTCTTTCAAGCTACGCCGAACAGAGAGTCTGGTCAAACCTAGCACTATAGTTTTGTGAAGTCATAACGAGACTTACCAGAATTCTGGTAAATTATTTCATTTGTCATAGGTAGAAACACCCTTTTCAACTTTTGAAGTCAGAATTTGAGTGGTTCAAAATTGCATTGAATATTTTAATTCATGAAAAAACGTACCTGTAAAACACTATTATCGAGGAAAATGTAAGAAAATGCTTCAAATCTCAAGAATGACTTCATGTATTTTCATTGGATATTTTAAAATAATTCATGAAGCTAACAAGGCTATTCATACAAGTCTGTAGTGTTTTGAATGGTGTACAGGTAACATCTCACTTGCTTTCCATAATGTTTTCCAACCTTAGTTAGCCTTGTTGGCTTTGTGCTCAGATTTGATTCATTCAGTGGAAATATATGGCATTATCCTGGAGATTTAATGTTTGACCAGACTCTTGAATTGGTTGAACGAGACTATTGTGTGTCGTGTAGTGTATTGTGTCACGTGATCTTCTGTTTCGGTACCCCAACCACCACACCATCTAACCCCAGGTAGATATCTATCGTGGTTGGTTTCATTGATTTTTCCTTCAAAGTTAAACAGTAATCTGTTTACCTGGAGTAACTTGTTGACATTTTCTACTATTCGTATAATCTATCTGCGGATATTCGTTTATATTATTGTGTACGTGTGATAATTGTTTTGAAACATATTTCGTATGCGGCCGCCAGCCACATTTAATGTGCATCTATGATTATTAGTTCCGGGACATCTTGCATACTCTGTCACATATTATTATCAACTTTTGTAGCTGATACGTCAACGGCTAGTCTAACACCGGGGCCGTTTTCGTTTATCGCGGTCCATACGGTTGAACCGGTCGGACCAGATCTAGAGTTGCTCGTTTATCAAATAAGGTGACGCGTCGGACCTAGTATTCTGGAGTTGCTTTCAGGCGAGCCTAGACAAAGCCTTACAAGGCCTGCCTAAACATTTGCAAGTCCGCTAGTATTAGATGGTGGAGCGAAGCTCTCCCTATAGATAACTTCACAATACCTATAGAACTGAAAAACTTGTCTTAACATGGCCGCCAGTCGCACGCACGCCAGTCTCTGCCATCTTGATCTCGAAACAAGTTCTCGTTTGCCGAATCTCGAACAAACGTTACATTTTTGTAAGATTTAAAACTTATATCTAACTATAGGATACTTAAATATTTGATACTTTCCGGTTAAAGACGTAAATTCTACTCTTGACATAACTTTACCGGCTACATTGTTCTAGTTCTAAATGTGTAGTCTCGTTCATTCAGTCGACGCTTGCGCAGACAACAATAGTCTGTTTGAATCTCCACCCTTGCACTCCATATACGACAACTCTGGATAGACATTGCAGTAGTATATATTTAGAAAACGGAATATTAACAAAACAACGTGCTGGTTGTCAAAAAAAGGGAGTTTAATATAGTGACGCAAATTGCTACGATGAAAAGCCATACAAGTATTTTAATAAGATATTTTGCACGAAAAAAATAGTAGAAAACAATTGAATCCATAACAATTTCATTTTTGATTACTATCTCACAGCTATTTTTTATTCATAAAAGAAAATCTGCGGTTTTACAAATCTGCACGATTTGAAAAACAAATTCTATACAGTTTTATGTGCTTAACTGATTCAATTTTTAATTATGGAAACTATACATTTTCTCTATTGCTAAAACTATACATATAGCCAGTAAGTTGCTGAAACAAATACACTCATTCCGGTGGAACTGAGATAGAGTATGTTAAATCTACAGTATATGTGCAGTCTATCATTTCTGAATTTAGAGATATTTCAAATTTGTTTTAGTCACTTGAAAATGTTTTTGTGAAATTCACATGTATTCCATCTCTTTCTCTTGAAAAATTTCGTGATTTCAATGCATTAGAACGAAAACTGCAGTATTCTATGTATTCAGAAGAGGAAAGACAACTACAGCGAAAACACTTAGAGGAAGATTTGAAAACTATTAACTTTGCATTACTTGCTTTTACCACACCTGTGAGATGGGATCGCGACAGTTTGTTAATATATTCCACAAAGAAACGTGGTAGAAAAACAATACATCGAAAGAATTTATGAAGATTTGTATGATGGAGTGCATCCTAATGATGTGCTGTCAAATAAATGGTATTTTTTCATGTGTTTGTCTGTCGCTAGTGACATAGAAGTAAAACAAGCAATTTATCATGAATTCAGCTAAATAGAAGCATATCCTATCATTTTGTCAGTTTTTAAAATGTGGAGCATATATCAACTACTTATACATGTTATAACAACAAGAACAACCTGGACAGGTAGCATGGTAATTTCGTGTGCAATCAATAAATGAAACTTAACTGTAATATACTGTATAGCTATACATGCAGGTCTGATTTAGTAATTTGACACTCCACTCAATGCTTGAAAGAGTACAATACCGATATTCCGATACATTTACAGTACAACCTGGCTCCGCCCTCACTAACGGTCGTGCCGTAAAACATATTAATAAGCCGAAGGCGCCCGAGCGAAGCTCTTTAATGGTAACACATCCGTGCGTAAACAGAGTTGCTTCCCCTTTTTAATCATCATTTTTTTCGTCCGGAAGTAGACGTCCAGTGGAGAAACCGGAGGTGTATCCTTGAAGCAAAGACAATTGTGTTTCAACCCATACATGAAAATCTTCATAGAGTGAAAACAATACCCATGTTTTATTACTTGTTTATTTAGATAAAAACTAAATATACATTATGTTCGAAAAAAATCTATCACATAAATTTTTATACTAGCAGGCATGAAACGTCGTTCAGAGATTATCATACGATGACGTCACAATCACGCCACACTCCATCGGCCTTAACCGGAAAATCTTGGAACTGATGGCCGTTGCATTTATCTCTTTCATGACTTTTTAATTTCAGTTTTTGCCACAGGCACAAAAAGTAAAAACGCGGATGTTTTCTGAAGATCCTTTTTGTCATCAACTACTGAAGTTCTGTTAATATTTCTATTTTCAAATAGAGCCGCATTAAACCAATAGGTCAACGTATACATCTATTTTGCATCGTCTAAAATGTCATCAGCTTTTGTTTCCATTAGTTGAGGATATGAACGAAATAATTAAAAAAAATGAGATTCCGGTTATAGTCTTTACATAATTTATGTATGCATCACCACTCATAAAAGAAACAATGGATAATTCATTTATGTCGAAATCAACAATCAATGCCCTTTTTCAGCAACGTATAACTTATTACTAGTTACAGACAAAAACTGTTTAATTTTATTTGGCATCATTACCTGTCAAATCTCAGTGACAGTTACAAAATTTGAAATTCAATCCGGTGTTTCAGGATGGAACAGGAATTCTAAATATCGATATAACGACAATCTCAGTTACATCAAAGTATTACAATGTTTTCTTTATTTAACTTAATTTTTTTAACTAACATCTCTATACATTTACTTTTATAGACTTATCGTCAAATGTGTAATGTGCACTTTTTTCTATAGCAATTACCAAACAGTGTTTTCCCACCTTATTTCAATCATTCTTTTTGTGACCTGATGGAAGCACGCAGAGGATTTAATTCTTAATGTGGGAGGAAGCGGGTGTATCCGGAGAAAAACCCGCGTGTTCGGGCAGGCTACCGGGATTGAATCCGGCCATCTTTGTTGAGACGAGCGCGCTATCCACTGCGCCACCGGACCCATCATTACGCACAAGAACAAATATGTGCTTTAGCTTTGAAAATGGTGTCATTGATGCAAAAATTATATTGTGAATACATTTTTACCAATCATCAACGATACAAAAAATCTATATACGGGAGACCGGGGCCACCCCTGATATTTTTGTTTTTGAGCTAATATTTACAACTTAAAAATCTTAGCAGTTTAGTTGGCTTGGCATTAACACGAAAAAATGGTGAGGAAAACTTTAATGCAAAATTACTAAACAGGAGAAAATTACTGTTGAGAGGGTAGAAAGAAAATCATGATCTCGCTTCTAGTTATGCGAACTTTCTGTAAACGGAATTACAATTTGTCAACGGTCAAACGTGTAACACACTGTACATAAAAGCAAAGCCAACAACTCACTACCATATCGCTGAACGGCAAGAATTTATTGAAATATCAATTTGGGCCCGGATAGTTTTGGCCAATGATACCGTGGCCCATGTAACACATAAAAAGTCGTAAAATTGGCGATAAAATCTGACGTTGCATGCTTTATAACCTCATACTTAAGCTGACTCCAATTGGGCCGAACTTACCCGAATGCCTGTCCGAACTTATCCCATTGCGGGGCTCGTTCGGCCATCGATCATCCGACAGGGAAAATTAAATAATGTTCAAAAACGGACGTGCTGCCATACTTCCCAAAACGGACTTCAATACACAAAGGGCCGAATTTGTTATACCGGTCTTAATCTCATTAGAGTTTATGTTTTATTGTTATCCCTCGACTAGCCGACTTTAAATAAATTTTATCTTGCCTCATTCTGAAAGCAGTATTATCTCATTCTAAATCAGTAAATATCAGAGATCAACAAAAGCTTCGCTCTTTTAAGGTTTTGCCTTTTCATATTACCCCAAATGTTACATTTAAAAACAGACGTAGCGTTTGTTCGATATAAACGATCAGGCTCCGGGTTTCGTTCCCCTCTCTTTACACAGTTATGGCCCTTTGTTTTTCTGCGTATCACTTTGTCCCTGGCAATAAGCATACAATCTACCACCTACAATTGTCAAATTTTGTTTAAGCGTACCTTTTGGAATGGTGGAATGTCACATACTGAACTTTGTCCCGTCACCCACATATAAACAGAGATAGTCCTTGTCACTTTGTTCCGGTTGTAGGCCTATCTCATTTACTATGTCAACTCACGAAATTAGATTATCTACACCATTTTTTCGGTTAAAAGCTCATTAGAGCTTATGTTTGTAGTTTGTAACTAAACCGAACTAAAATAAAACTTTCATATATATCATTACCATATTTGGTATTGTGAGTACCTCTCGGCAGAGGGTCGCATATCAAATCGGGTCTCGTGCACCACTTTGTACGGAGTAGTGGCCCTTTGTTAATTTTGATACCGAATTGCTTTCAATGTTTGTTACAGCACGGACTTAGACAACATCTAATCTAATTCCGTGGTTACGGTTATCAGACATTTGATGATATCAGGGTATTCTATAATGTCATTAGTCTGTTTATAGTTCATTGTGTCATGGAAGGTACAGGACGCTATAAGTATTCTCAGGACAGAAGTTCAGCACGATGCTTTGTTTTACATGTAATAATCAGCAGTTTATCAATCTGTTTTTAAGAGCGATGACAGTGTATACATATAGCTACTAAGAATGAAAATGGTCGAAACGAGCTATCCCTCATTCTTCAGACTTCAAGACGAAAACGAAATAATGTATTACGACGAAGAAATAGGCCTACATGTATCAAAGACTCTATTTTTTTGCTTGTAAAAAACAGACAATTATTTTTCCTAATATCGATTTCGGATGAAGTTTTTAGGTTCTCCCCTTTGGTTTTTTTCTGGGACGGTATGTGGGTGGAGTCTGTTAACAACTTATTTTCCTAACTCCTGTTTGTTTTATACTCTCTAATTGTCCTTTGTCATAAATATATTTAGGGTAACCGCATTACTTAATTATGTGAATATCTTTTCTTTCTGTCCAATACAATTGAAATCCAAGTTGAATAGCAGCTGATACGTTACATAATCATACGAATGTCTGAATGCGAATAGGCAATGTATTTGATTTAATTTGAGGACAGGCATCTTTTATAACATTTAAAGCGTCTGAAAGATCTAGATTGGGTATCAAACGTAAACTTCCGAAATCAGTATTTATAGTTAAACACATGTCCATTTCGACTCGTCTGTCTGTCGTCGGCAGACATATCGCACACGATACAGCATCTGCTCCTATACCTAAGGTAATAATATATCGGAAACGACAGCGTTTGACCTGTCACGTTCTGTATTTTGCGAATTGTTCTAGTTAGGCAACTAAGGTACCGATCTGCCCTGCTGGCCGACCCAGATAGTATGCCGAAAAGATACCATACTTGTGGTTAGTTGTATCTACAGGTGCTGTATAGCTAGTTCTGATATGGCGTTAAATGAGGGCCTTCATAATGTTCTTTTTGTATAGTTTTCATATTTATATATGTAGTCTCAATGCTATCATCGTATCTTGTGATCATTAAATATACGAGTTGCCTCCCCTCTACCACGGCACAGGTCACGATGGCCGGTCAAGGTGGCGGGACAAGCCCGCCGTTGACCACTCACATACTGGACACGGCGCGTGGTCAACCGGCAAATGGCGTGGCTATGACTCTTTCCAAGCTGGACCAGAGTGGACAATGGCAGACCATGGAGACAGGGTCAGTAATTGTATAATTAATTTTTGTATACTTGATAAGAAGACATGGCTTTCTGACTACAAACTAGGCTTTGGAATAGTTTATCTTCAATAAGTAACTGTATTTGAAGTACTTTATAAATAGAGGATCTGTCATAAGTTTCCCTTCATATTAGATTGATGATACAAGTTTTGGATTTTTCATGTTTGCGAGCCATTGGCGAGCAAATATGAACAATCCAAAACGAGAATAATCAATCTTAATATGAAGGGAAACGAATGACAGATTTTTTTTTTATCATATAATACAAAGTAAACTGTATAATTGTGATCTGAAACGAATATTTTGCATTTGGCCGCCTCTGAAACTATGAAAATTGCGTCTGCTTCACAATAAGGTGATGTCACATTGACTGTTGACGTCATATTGACTGTTGACGTCATTTCCGTAGTGTTATAAACAAGTAACTTACATAAACATAATTTATGTGATCATGATTCATATGATAAAAGCGAATATGAAAAAAAAATGAAATCAACAGAGATTAGGGTCACTTATTTAACCTGTGTTGCACTTTATGACCTCTTAACTGTTGATTAAAGGTCAATTATGTTAAGTTTAACTAGAAAATATGTTACTTTGATTGAAAATAATAATGTTTAATTATTATGTTGATACATCTGCTGACTATATTGTGATATCACATATATATGAACCATATACACAGATACACAGGTTCTATTCTGACTATAGGAATTTACACATTCCTCTGCTGTCAAGTTGTAAAAATGTAAAAACAAAAATTAACCTGAAATATTTCGGATAATACACAATTATCTTTGTAATAAGTATGCTAGCGGCCCCCTCATTGGATTTGCTGTCGTTTTAGATTGCTTTTGGGTTAGTTAATCCTGTGAGTGATTGGCAAACCTCGAACGCTTGTTATGTGTGTTTGACACCATCTTTGTTGTCATGAAGAGAGATTCTAGTTTAAGTTATCTCCCCCTCGCACATGCTTTTATAGACCCCACTCTAAAATATAGACCCTGGCAGGATATCCAATCAGAAAGAGTGTTACAAATTAGAAGGGTGATAAATTCTTATTTCTTTTAAGGGGGTCTTTCAATTAAGTAAATATCTGATTTTGCACTGTTATTTATTAATTAGACATCTAAGTTTTTGATGTTCAAGGCATGATGTTGTTTACATTTAAATGAAGTAGAAAAGTAAATAAATTGATCCTTCGACAAATTTCAATACTATACTGACAAAGGAGTAATTAAAAATCAACCACAATGACTAATAGAATCTTCCCCTACCTTGAGGGTGTGACAGAGAAATCTCCTACCAGAGGGGTGATGTTTTTGGTTGTCTAACCCGAGGCTCTGCCAAAGGATAGACCAAAAACAATCAACCGGGGGTTGGAGATTTCTCTGTCACACCTTCAAGGTAGGGGATGATTCTTTTTCTCCCATCCTATTGATTCAATCACAACTCCACCGACAGTAGTCTGCCATGTTTTTAAATAAAAACACATGTGGGGTATCGTCTTTCACTTTTGATGACGTCACAATTATCGGTGTCACGCTATTGTTCATGACGTCATTTTATGACGTTTTGACGTCAGTCAGGGTCATTGACGTCACTAACAATTGCCATCTGGGCTTCATATGCAAATAAGAGATGTGCAGACAGTTTAAAACTTTACTAGAAGAGCAGCTGTTTTTACGTGTTTTAGGTAATAAGCAAGAAATAGAATCCATCCGTGATATAAGTTAGGGATAAGGTTATTCAAACCCTCGGGATAAAATATTGAGCAAAAGACCCTCGGCTAAGCCTCGGGTCTCCTGCTCAATATTTTATCCCTTGGGTTTGAATAACCTTATCCATACCTCACATCGGGGATGGATTCTATTAATCTCACCCACAAGGGGATGAATGATGCTTTTTCTCTTATCCTGTTCTCTCATTGTGTATCTTATACAAATTGTAATGTTTAAACGTCACAGGCTAAGTTCAGGGTTGAAGTGACATTGATGGATTGTTGATGTGACGTCATTGTATTGTTTAAGTGCCGTCGTACCGTTGTAATGAATAGGGGATTCCCCCCATCTCAACCCTAGGGGGAGACAAGGAAATCTCACACAAGTAAAAGTGCTGATACATTTGTCCAGGGTAAGAGAAAAGCTGTTCTTTTCCAGCTGTGAAGGGTGGGAGAATAACGTGTCACCATGCCAAGGGGATTTCGCAAAGATGGATATTGAATTAGAATTTGGTTGGAAACAAAAATGAATGTGTCGTAAGGTTTGTTTGTTGGATACTTCATCATTGATTCTTTTGGTTTGGTAATTATAAGATTTGGTACCCTGCTTCCTTTGGTTAGTTAATTATAAGATTTGGTACCCTGCTTCCTTTGGTTTGTTATAAGATTCGGTACCCTGCTTCCTTTGGTAAGTTAATTATAAGATTTGGTACCCTGCTTCCTTTAGTTAGTTAATTATAAGATTTGGTACCCTGCTTCCTTTGGTTTGTTATAAGATTTGGTACCCTGCTTCCTTTGGTTTGTTATAAGATTTGGTATCCTGCTTCCTTTGGTTTGTTATAAGATTTGGTACCCTGCTTCCTTTGGTTTGTTATAAGATTTGGTACCCTGCTTCCTTTGGTTTGTTATAAGATTTGGTACCCTGCTTCCTTTGGTTTGTTATAAGATTTGGTACCCTGCTTCCTTTGGTTTGTTATAAGATTTGGTACCCTGCTTCCTTTGGTTTGTTATAAGATTTGGTACCCTGCTTCCTTTGGTTTGTTATAAGATTTGGTACCCTGCTTCCTTTGGTTTGTTATAAGATTTGGTACCCTGCTTCCTTTGGTTTGTTATAAGATTTGGTACCCTGCTTCCTTTGGTTTGTTATAAGATTTGGTACCCTGCTTCCTTTGGTTTGTTATAAGATTTGGTACCCTGCTTCCTTTGGTTTGTTATAAGATTTGGTACCCTGCTTCCTTTGGTTTGTTATAAGATTTGGTACCCTGCTTCCTTTGGTTTGTTATAAGATTTGGTACCCTGCTTCCTTTGGTTTGTTATAAGATTTGGTACCCTGCTTCCTTTGGTTTGTTATAAGATTTGGTACCCTGCTTCCTTTGGTTTGTTATAAGATTTGGTACCCTGCTTCCTTTGGTTTGTTATAAGATTTGGTACCCTGCTTCCTTTGGTTTGTTATAAGATTTGGTACCCTGCTTCCTTTGGTTTGTTATAAGATTTGGTACCCTGCTTCCTTTGGTTTGTTATAAGATTTGGTACCCTGCTTCCTTTGGTTTGTTATAAGATTTGGTACCCTGCTTCCTTTGGTTTGTTATAAGATTTGGTACCCTGCTTCCTTTGGTTTGTTATAAGATTTGGTACCCTGCTTCCTTTGGTTTGTTATAAGATTTGGTACCCTGCTTCCTTTGGTTTGTTATAAGATTTGGTACCCTGCTTCCTTTGGTTTGTTATAAGATTTGGTACCCTGCTTCCTTTGGTTTGTTATAAGATTTGGTACCCTGCTTCCTTTGGTTTGTTATAAGATTTGGTACCCTGCTTCCTTTGGTTTGTTATAAGATTTGGTACCCTGCTTCCTTTGGTTTGTTATAAGATTTGGTACCCTGCTTCCTTTGGTTTGTTATAAGATTTGGTACCCTGCTTCCTTTGGTTTGTTATAAGATTTGGTACCCTGCTTCCTTTGGTTTGTTATAAGATTTGGTACCCTGCTTCCTTTGGTTTGTTATAAGATTTGGTACCCTGCTTCCTTTGGTTTGTTATAAGATTTGGTACCCTGCTTCCTTTGGTTTGTTATAAGATTTGGTACCCTGCTTCCTTTGGTTTGTTATAAGATTTGGTACCCTGCTTCCTTTGGTTTGTTATAAGATTTGGTACCCTGCTTCCTTTGGTTTGTTATAAGATTTGGTACCCTGCTTCCTTTGGTTTGTTATAAGATTTGGTACCCTGCTTCCTTTGGTTTGTTATAAGATTTGGTACCCTGCTTCCTTTGGTTTGTTATAAGATTTGGTACCCTGCTTCCTTTGGTTTGTTATAAGATTTGGTACCCTGCTTCCTTTGGTTTGTTATAAGATTTGGTACCCTGCTTCCTTTGGTTTGTTATAAGATTTGGTACCCTGCTTCCTTTGGTTTGTTATAAGATTTGGTACCCTGCTTCCTTTGGTTTGTTATAAGATTTGGTACCCTGCTTCCTTTGGTTTGTTATAAGATTTGGTACCCTGCTTCCTTTGGTTTGTTATAAGATTTGGTACCCTGCTTCCTTTGGTTTGTTATAAGATTTGGTACCCTGCTTCCTTTGGTTTGTTATAAGATTTGGTACCCTGCTTCCTTTGGTTTGTTATAAGATTTGGTACTCTGCTCTTTTGGTTTTTATCTCAACCAGAGTGTGATATTTTTTATCAACAATTTGTCCCTTTTCTTACGGCAACACATTCGCCTATTTTGAACTGTCGGAACCCTGAGCTTGCCATGTTTTGTTTAAAAAGTGATGATGTAATCGGTTTTGCTAAACGTGCACAGGGTCACAGGTCATGTTGAAAGAAGTGCGTTGTCTGTGACGTAATAGCGCGTGTCAGCTGTCTAGATCGAGGTATAGATGAAGACAGGTTTATCTTTTCCCTACCAAAAACGGGAATGTACTTAATTAAGGAAAAAGATCACATGCCTAAATATTAAAAAAACCAGGAACCTGCACCTGGATGCGAACTTGCACTGTTCACTCCGTCTGGTCAAAAGTTAACTGCGTTACACATCGGCTACATCAGACATAGACGAAGATTGGAAAACAAGCTATTTTAACCCAAGAAACACCTGTCGCAGTTTAAGAAACTCGCTCACCCCTGTTTGTAGGTCACTGAGCGTTAGCTCAAGTGACCTATTGGTAGGGTGAGGACAAAACCCGGAATGCACTCAAAATCAAATGGTCCCGCATTTGGTTTTCAATGAAGTTAGTTTTTTGCTTGAATGAATTTCCGTATAAACAAAGTTCTAC